CTTCATCGGTCAGAGTTACCTGACTCAAGTATAGCCGCAGAAACTGCCGCTGTACTGTACTGTACTGTTTAAATGGAACTTTTACGGGTTTCTGTCATTTACTCAGATTTCAGTCACACTTGGCTCCAGGTTTGCAGAGCTTTGACTGCGGTGCTCTACCAGTGAGGAGGTGTTACCTTACAAGTGACTGTTGGAAGCGGAAATTTTATTTGCCCCTATTAATTTTGCTCTTAAATAGGGGAATCGTTCTTGGCAACCCACGATTCTGTAAACATCTGGGTATCCTCAAATTCAGCGACAGGGCCGGAAATGACAACCCTGACAAGACTCGTTGAAACAAAATGCAGCAGATATTAAATAACATTGAAACTCCCAAATAATCTCTAGTTGTGACTTATTTATAAAGCAAATTAAGGACAGGGGGTTCAGAAATGGTCGTAATATTAAACTACTTTGGGCAAGGATGACTTGTGTGGCCGCCTTAACAGGGTATGCGGACAGGAACCACTCACAATGTACGTGGCTTCATGTCAAATCTTGGTGAAATTAAGCTTAGGATTAAGGCAAGGGTTCGGGTTAAGTTAAAAGTTGGAGGTTAAAGTCAGAGTTGGGTTTAGGGCCAGGATTTTATTCAAAATTAAGGTTTCGGCAAAGAAAATGAAGACTAGAAAGCTCATTTCTGGTTCATTAGCCTATCGTCAGCTAGTCATGCCCAACCCTAAGCGGTGAAACACCCGAGGTTCGAACTCGCGACCTTTCGATCAGAGGTCTAACGCCCTAAACAATGCGCCACGAGCTTGTTGTCTGCCGGTGTAGATCGGTCACCACTTGGTGCCCCACTTGGGATTTGGTAATGATTGGCTGACGACGGCTAATGAGCCAGAAATGGCCACTTCAGTCTCCCTTGTCCTTGCCAGCAATGCTATCTGCTCAGACTATTAGCCGCTGTGAGACCGCTGGCGTGGCTCGATAATGAGCCTCAAGGCATAGCGGGAAGAGTGAGTTCCGTTAGCGATCGGTGAACGTTCATCCACGAGTTAGGGTTTGAGGCCTTGGTAACTGTATAACTTAGAGGAAGAAGAAGAAGAAGAAGGAGATGCGACCACTGGAACAAGAGTTTTATTGTCCTCACGTTTCGGATTCCGTCGGGAATCCTTAATCATAGGTAATGGTAAGATAGTCTGAGTCATGCGCAGATAGGGGTGAAACGTGCGCAGATTGCACGGTATTTATAATTCGTAGCGGTCATCCGCGTGCGTACTATGATTTCCCACTCCCGTAACCACCACTTGGATCCTAATTAGTGCGGTGATGGCTTGACACTTCGCCTTCGACTCATGACTTGCCGTGATTTTCCTTGTCCACGACGGATGCGGGCTTGGTAATCGCGCGAAAGTTATATTCGCTCAGAGTCGTTGTTGGACCCGGCCTTTCCCACGTGACTGATTCTCTTGCTCAGTCGATGTCTCAGTACACCGTAAGGAAACGCCAACTCGTTGCGCTTGTTGGTGGGCTGGGGCCCTGTGAACCATGACTCGAGCAGCTCGCGGTTCACGCAGTTGTCGCCTCTTGCGAGGATTTCGGCCTCATTAAACTTGAAAATATGGCCGGGTCCCGTCGAGTGAGCTTAGGACAGGGCTAGGGTAAAGCTTAAGGTTACAATTTAATTTATTTATGTTAAGGGCGAGACACAAGAATATTTATCCTTTCTGAAATGTATGTCAAAGTCACCT